CCCTTGTAGATTAACTGGTTCATTTTAGTGTTGCAAAGATTTCTTTCACAAGCAGGATGTCCCTAGAAGGAAGAGCCTAGAGCTTTACTCTGTTTATAGGTCACACAAACAGCTAGAAGACATGTCCCCATGAAGACAGGGCTTCTGGGATCTACTGAGACTTGCTCTTCCGTGCTGAATCCATCTCTAATCTTCCTGGCATCTTTTGATGGGACCCCTTGGGGTAGGAAAGGTAGCAGCTTACCTGCACTTCCCAGTGGCTGGAGCTGTTGAGCCTGGCAAGTCATGAAGCAGCAGCCTCAGAGACAGCTCTTGTGTGGGCAGATGTTTCAAACCGTCACAGATGGGCCACCAGAAAGACACAGCAGGGGTTCAAGGCTCTGTGTTAATGCAGGTTTTCCAGACAGGGACCCCAAACTGTGTGGCTGGGGAAGGGTGGGAGGTAGAAACCCAGCAAGTGGATAAAGAGTGCAAATTACTTGGAAACATCCTTCTGACGACTTGTAAGAAGCCTCTCCCCATCCCAGGAAGCATTTTAACAGTTCTGGTTTCTTCGATGATGCTCTAAGGACCGTTTCATTTTTTCAAACCCTCTCCGCAACCTCAAAAAAGCACTTAAAACAGTTACACTAAGACTTAATGGTATTTTTCTTCTGTGAGCCCAGGTAGGTTATTTGCTTTTCATCGCCAGAGCAGGAGTTTGGGCTTGGCAAGTGAGAGGTTGCGCTCTCTTAAAACAAAAACCCCGACTTGTGCTGCCCGTGTGATTTACTGCCACATAATATGTAGTGAGATCAATTCCATCTGCGTTGCTTTTGGAACAGAGCACTTACTTTAATGCACCTGAAGGGGAGTAATGAGCTGGGCAGTTCAGCACTATGAAGAGATGAGACATCCCCCTCTTACAGCACTACCCCCAAGTTTGGCATAGCAATACGGAGCAACACAGCTGAAGACCTGACCTGATCTTATTATAGGGAGAGGTAAAGGGACCAATACTGCTATCCTGCAAGAATATAAGAGGGACTGCTGAAACACAACACTTGAAGCATATTGTTCAATGGAGAAAGGAGGCAAGGGTATCTGTGGTCGTGGGTTTTCAGGGTATCTATCTCCATGTGCTAATGCCTTATGGTTAAAATGGAGCCTAGCTGTTCAGCATGTGAGAGGAAACTCATGTATTTTAAGGGCAGAGTGACTGTAAAGCTCCTCCCCCCCCCAAAAAAAAAGTATTACTCCATGCTCTTGCTTCCCCTAATGGCCTGGAGTAGCAGCCTCACCTGGCCTAGGCACTTGCACCCAGAGACTTTTGAGCAGGACTCAAGGAGAGCCCCTCATTGCCACAGATGGTGGCAGACCTTCGCTCGGCAAGTGGTCCCTAAGGAGAAGTCATCTCCTGGTGGTTTTCTGGCTGACCAGGTGGCCCAAGCAGCCTGTGAACAGATTGCAGGTTGGTGGAGACAAGGACTCCACTGCGCTCCTAGATGCTGAGATCCAACCAAGTCTTTGCTGATAAAGCGAGATCCCCTCACTGGATCCTGCCTCATTAGAGCTTTGTCCAAACCCTCTTGCAGTTAGGATTTAACCTAGTAAAAACCTGTCAAGCCATAATGCCAAGCCAACTCCGCTCCTCGGCACAGTCCTGATAGCAGTGAACAGGCAGTGAATGGAGCCAGCCTGGGGAGAGGGAGATACCATGGCTTGGGCAGAACAGGCTGAACCTGTTCAGAACCTGTATCTGTGGCTAGAGGCATCCCAGGGTGAGATAGTTGGAGGGCAAAAGTAGAGGGAGGAGATGTGTGAGATACAGGGGAAGGGTGCAAGATGAGTGTGGATGGAGGAGCCCATTCCGACAGTGAGGGAAAGACAGAAAGAAAGGGGTTTCAGAAATGCAAGAAAATAAAGATTTGGGGTTTTTTCAGCTGGAAAGGGAACAAAACCAGAGGTGTTAGTACATGAGGGGGATGAAAGAAGCAGGCATCCATGAAAGAGTGCTGCTCAGCACTTGCTGCTTTAAGAAAGAGGATTAAGGGGGCAGGATGAAGAAATATGAAGGGGCTAAGAAGCAGGTGATTAGAGGAGACACCTTCTGCTCGTGGTGCAATAACAGGGTAAGTGGTTAAACAGGCCAGAAGCTATGCTGAGCCTCGGCTTGTCAGGCTCAAAAAATGGAAGAGTTCTTGTGGCTGTGAGACCAAGTCAGCTCCAGCGCGCCTTCTCCTTGTTTTCAAACACTGACAGCTTGAGCCACGCGGCAGAGCTCATGTGATTACTCAAATAAAGATCAGCCCATTGGAGTTTAGTCAGCTCTAGAGGACACAAGTAAGGAATGCTTCTGCAGGAGAAAGGACTGACCCAGTCTTAAAGCAATGCCCCTGCCATTAAATCCCTAATTTCACCTACGCAGATAGAAAGCGCCTCATAGTGACAACCCTCCCCAAACCATATTGCACACCTCCTCGCACCCACATGGGCCCAGCAACACAGCGAGCACCACAACCTCCCAAACCTCAGCCTCGTAAATGCCCCAGCTCGCCAGCCCCAAACCCTCACCGCAGTGACCTTGGAGCTGCAAACACCCCATGGCCCTAGCCGCCCCCATCACCTCCCACCAGGGCAGCGCAGAGCCCACCTCTGTGAATGCCATGGTTGTGTCAGCCACTGCCTCAGCAAGGAGAGCACCCCAAGAGGGAAGGTGGCACTAAGGAGTGCTCTCAGACCACCCCAAAATAACCTCTTTGCCACCTCCGGCCAAGCCACCCTGTGCCCCTGCCAGGCCTGGTGCTGCTGGAGGCCAAAGCGAGCAGCAGTTAGCATGGAAATCACCCTTTTTGTTTTGGAAAGCAGTAAGGCAAATAATTAAAAAAAAAGATGACATTTGAGTCCTTGAAATCATTGGGGCACCCTGATGCTGAGCATCAGTGACTAAATACAGAGACAAATTTGTGCCATGACCTGTTTTTTTCCTGAGGATAGCCAAAAGATCTTGCTAATGAAAGGAAAGGCAGCAGAAGAAGCACGCAGGAGGGTAAGTGGTTCTCCACTTGAAGAACAGAATAATCAGTCAGTGAAACAGTTACGATACATGTGGCTTTTCCGCCTCACTGCTGTGCCAGATACTCTGATGGCAGAGGTGTATGGTCATTGGCATTGCATACCATGCTCACTGTAGAAACACTTATTAAAAAAATACACACATATACATATATAATTAGTATTAAATGGATTTTTTGTATATGTAATGAGATATATATTTTATATATATATATATAGAGAGAGAGAGAGAGAGAGAGAGTTTTAAAATCAACAAAAAAGGCAAATATGATTTCAGTGCAATGCCTGGCTCTCAGGTCACCCAGCTGTTTTTTTTCTCCATATTATTTTTCTTCCTTTTCTCCTAACCATTGCAGACCCTAAAGCCTGGAGAGAGGAGAGAGAGGACACCTCATATACCATATGTGCTACTGGCAACAAATAAAACATAGCTGCGATGGTCAGGGTTTTAAAAAGCATTTGGGTGACATAGGGTGCAGTCTGATGCCACAGCTAAGCAGACCTAATGCCTAGCTACTCCTGAAAATGACAGGCCCGCTCACCATTTCTCACGTCAGGAGCTGGGGATGCTCCGAAGACCCTGTCGTGAGATGGTTGGGGGAGCTCAACTGGCAGAACATAATTGGTCTTTCATTTTCTATGCTCCCTGGCATCTGCTCCAGCAGGGCTGGGAGACTGGGCTAGCTCTGGGATTAACCTGCCCCCAGAGTGGTTGCAGCTCCCCAACTTTCCTTTCTGGGCAAGTTGTACTTGGGCGTTGGGATCCCAGTGCTGGCCATCCCAAAGGCCCCACTGCAGTTGGTGAGAGTGGGGCCATTGCCTTCCACCAGTGGGTTTCGTCCCACTAGGCTGGGTCTACACCAGTTTACAGACCTTTGTGCCCTTTTCTTGCAGCAGCTTGTTTTCTGCAACATAACCAGGCTGGTACCTAGTGCCTCACCTTCCTCACTCTGTTATAGTGTTATAGCGCCTGCACTGAAACGTCTATTTTTTTGCTCTAGAAAGCAAGTCCCCTGAGAAACAAAAGTTTTCTTAAGAACTTCTTGTGCAGTCCCACAGGTCAGTCATCTGATAAACTAAAAATTGTTCAAATTAAAGCGCTGAAGTCCTCATGGTTCTCCATTCCAGAGAAGTTACACGAGAGTATTTGCTGACCTTTTAGCGCACAGCTTCTCATCCCCCTACACCCCAGAACAGTATTTCTTTAGCAAAGACATGTATTAAGGGGAATTAATTAACTAGGCTTGCTGGCTAGATAATCAATTTTCTTGGCATAAATTGAGTACTGATGGAAGAATGTTAATCCTTTGCTCCCCCAGCTTTCCCTGCATAGAGATTAAAAATAGATGAATACCCAGTTGGAGAAATTGTGATGGGATCATATTCCTTCCGAATAGAGTTCTGGTAACCTCAGAAAATGGGGTGAATGTTCCTGGGATTTCATTTCATAAATGCACTGGGAAAGTTAATGTTGAAATGTCCTAATTTACTAAGTCTTCAAACAAAAAAAAAAAGGAAAAGTTTCATTCTGAAGTAACTTTTTGTTTACACATTTAAAGAATGGCACAATCAATGGCAAAATATAAGTGAAATGTTTTAAACATCTTCAAACAAAAAATATTTAGAGTAGCAACATGCCATGTTTTATGCTTCTCTACCATGATTCTGCCAATGTTTTATCAGTTCTGCTATTCAGCAAAGCGCGCCCTAACTCATTAGTCACCCAACAGATGATCGGCACCCAGCAAAGTTGGTCTGTAACTGTCAGCTGAGGAAAATACTCTGGCTTTCTTGAAGAAATTCTTTAGTGTTTCCTGAAGATAGATTCTTTCTGCTGAAGGTGGATCCACTTTATCCACAACCATACGTCTCCCTTTAATTGGTATACTGCCCTATGCCTCCTAAGTCACTGGTGTGACTACAAACTGCTCAGACACTGTGATTTATTTTTCATCTCATTTATTGCAGGCATGAATACAGGAACAGGTAAACAGCTGAGCCGTAAAAGTTTCTCTCTAGGCATGTTTTCGATAAAATGCCTTCACACACTGTCTGATGATACAGGCTGCTACTAAAATGGCACAGAGTGGGGTCAGCAATCTTGCTTCAAAGCTGCTACCCACCAGTCAAAGCCGCAGCTGCCAAAGAAGCCTTCTCCTCCACTTACTCGCTCCCTTCCCCACGTGTTCTTTTACGGCACTTAACTTTACAAAACACAGTTGTAAGGCTGATCTTACATGCAATCACAGATCAGTCTCAGTATATTTATTGCAAACTCCTTGAACATCAGGACATCAAAAAAAAAAAAAAAGGAAAAAAAATGAAAATAACACTATTCCATTGCATAATTATGAGTAGGTTTTCGTAACCAATGAACCAGAAATATATTCAGAAAAAAAGAAAAGAAAAACAAAGGATATCGGTAAACAGTTCAAATAAAACATGATGCTGCCTCCAATGAAACATTGCACTGCATTGCCAGCTCTGTTTCAAATGGGCACGTAGGCATCCTGTTGCAAGAGAGAGGTGAAGCCATGAAATGACACTTTTGAGGAGTTAATTTTCAAACATTGCATTTCCAGGGTCTAAATAAATTTGAAACGTGAAAATTTGTATGCGCTGTGGGATCTGATAGAGATTTGAGACCTCGTACAACATTCCCCACCCCCTAAAAAGCTTGGTTAGTCTTTTTAAAATAAGATAGTCCAAACAACTGAACCACACAGAAACAAACCGCAATTGGTTGGCTTCCATAAGAGATTGCAATATAAGAAAATATTTAACTCCTTGCATAGCTATTTAAATGGACAATCAGTTTGGCTGGAATCACCCACACATGAAAACCTTGCATTCTGCCACTTAAAGACAACTTCACACGTGAAAGCTGGGATCTGCCAACCAAGTTGGAGCACCGTTTGTGGCACTGCCAAGAGCCAGGCACGCACCTTGCAGGCTTTGCCACGATAGCTATAGCAGGGTGTTTTACCAACCAGCTGCTCCCAGACTGGACACATCTGTAGCGATGTAGCTCTGCTTTTGCCACTGTGCGATATCCCAGCTCTCTGCTCTCCCCACAAATGAAAAAAACTACCTGTTCTGACAAAAGGGTGGTTTGGGTAGTATATTTACATCTAACGCGCAAAGCTTTTGCTGGCAGAGCTATGTCAATCACAAATCATACCTCAAAACACCCCTGAATGATGTAGCTGTGTTGGCAAGGGTTTGCAATGTAGACCTAACCAGAGGGACTAACAGTAGGATTCATCTCACTTAACATTAAGCAATAAAAAGGTAGACACTGAAGTCAGAGACATCTCTGGAAGGCAATCCCTCTGATCTCTCTTAAGATGAGAGTTGGGCATATTAACATTAGGTGAGATGAACCCTTTCCCAGGAGACCTGAAAAGACAAACTCCTTTCAGTCCCCCTTTTCTGTCACCACCTCTCCAGACCATGCTTCAGAAGGCTGCTGTTCAAATGTGTTATCTTTACACGTGTCAATGTACATGATTATGATAGCCTGTGCTGGGCTTCATGCTGCCACAACTACATATGCAAGCTCATTAAAGCTAGCTCGGATACTTCTGCGCTATTATATAGACATACCCTCAGACAGAGTATCCTTAAACACCTGTAAAGTTAAAGTCCAGGGGCAAATCTCGAATATGCGCCCCTCAGCATACGTTCACGTTGACACTGTCTTGTTTACAGTGGTTTTGGGTAACAGGTGTCCTAACACTGTAATTCCCAACCAGAGGTGAGGCAGGAGTGTATATTCAAAAAATGTGAAAACCAAGACGCTTAAGCGCGGCTGAAGAAAGTACATAGTAAGAAAGAACAACGGATGACATTCTGCAGGTAAAAGTTTAGTTCAATATTGGCAAAACATTTTAATAAAGCTCCACTGGGCTGCAGAATAGGGAATGATGGCAGCCAGTGGACAGGACTCTAAAACAAGACGAAGCAACGCACTTGGGGATGTTCTGAGGAAAAAGCCCCACGGGAACTAAGTGCCCACATGAGCCTTGCCCTTTTTAACCACTGTGAATCAAGGCCGGAGGAGTCTCTGCTCTTTCTCAGCTACGCCAAAGCACACCTCAGCTGTACAGACCCGACCACTGTAAAGTTACCTTGGTTCACATTTCTTGTTCTCCAGTTCCATGTATTTCAGCTCAAGAATCCTTATACAATAGGAATAAAATGCTGCATTTAAACCAGTAAACCAATAGCTTGTTTGTGGGGCAGAAAATCTGATGGGCTGCTCTGAGCCAGGCATTCAGGTTTGCTGAAGGCATTTGCTTACGTGACTAGACTGCCCTCATGCAGGTCACTGGGTTTGTCCCCAAACCTCACGGCATATTCCAGAGTTTCCAGTGTCCCTTCCCACACTCTTGAAGGACTCCAAGGCAATCAGTAACACTAAAGGCTGTGCTCACATCTGTTTTCCTTGCTGACGTTGTGAAACAGCCGGCTGCTTCACATGCAACCAGGAATTGCCTAATAGCAGGCAAAGAGACCAGATTCAGCTGGAGTCAGTGCTGCGCTGCAACTCCAACTTGCTTCCCTCTCCAAAAATCACACCTCTAGCTAGACTTTCCTCTTCTTTATTCTTTACAACGATCACCTTTATTTAGGTGCAGACAAAACATGCTGCCACTTCTCCCTCCACCAATATCCTTGTGGGAAGTGGTGAGAAAAGGATAACAGGAAAAGGAAGATGCAGTCTTGTATATCTGCTACTCTCCTCCCTCCTCCTTTCCGATTTCTTCACAGGGATTTGATGTTCCTAATCCCTTTTTAATAACCTTAGACTGATGGAGAGGTATGTAAAAACATGCCACAAAAATATCTTGGCACAGTAACTAGAAGGCGGACAGTGTACAAGCTGTATTTGATTACTCAGCAAAGTCCTCTGAGTGCTTTAAAACCCGCAGTCCAGGTGTATTTCTATGTCTGCTTCTGCCTGTTCCTCATGCTGAGCTACTTCACTGCATTTTGTACAGCTGGTTTCTCCCTAACACTAGTGCTGTTTGTTTTGCCCCATTTTAGAGCAACTGTGAAGGTTTGGGGTTGCTGGACTGAAGTGGGGAGCATTATGCTAATTTCTTGTCCCACTACACATAAAATAGGCGAATCATTTTCTACCACCACGTTACAATCCAGAGTCCTATAACGCTCTCAGGGTTTCTCCTATCAGAAAAAAAGCACAGGCTAACTCGGAAGGAAACTCAGGCTCAGAGCAATCACTTCCCAGCCTTCACGCTAAGAAACTGGTTAAGCTGAGATAAAGCCATAGTAATCAGTATCAAATTAAGGGCAACCTTTTATCTTAATACAAACAAGAGAACATAGTGTACAGAGTAACAGAAAAATATACATCTTCAGCCATATAAAACACATAAAAGCTTTCCTGTTGGAAGAGTATTTTGTAGCTGATAGTCGGTTGTTGGTAGCTTTCCAGGTAATTCCACACTACTAAACTGGGGAAAATGGGGAGCTGCTTTTTTTCACAGGAAATTGTTTGGTATTGTTACCTTTATGCCATCAATACATTCCTTGAAGCTGCAATACCGCTAACATTTAAACACCCACGTAACCTTATGCCTGAGATAGTTCCACCGAAAGTAGAGGCTCCTCTGCGCGGAGCCAGCCCTACCGCTCAGAGGTGGGCCGACACAGACACACCGATCAATCGGCAGTGCGAAAAAATGGTACAGACACAGCCACGCCGTCAATCACTACTATTATTTAAATTGACCAGTCAATTCACGTCATTCAGGAAGGCAGTTCAGCAGTCCAGGAAGGAAAAATATGCCCTCTGCGTAAGCTATGTCCACGCCGATGAGGCTCTGCGAACTCCACTGCATCGGCAGAAGCTCCCCTAGCGTGGGCAAGCCCTCATACGTAGGCAACTCGGAGAAGTTCAAACTTCCCACTTAATTAAAAAAGTCAATATCAAGCTAGAAAGTCAGTAGCAAATTACTTTAAATAACGGATTTTTTTCATTAATGGAAATACAAGTAAGATTCAGTTTAAGATTTAGGTCAAGATGACAAACTATAGGGAGCGATGGGGGCACGTATCCGTACGGAGGGATGTCTTTCCCCCTTGCAGCTATTTAAATCTCTGAGTAAAGGTTAAGGTTAGGAATTTGATAAGACAGCTGTTTATTTTTCTGTGGAGACAGAAACAGTCCTGGGGTTAGGATGTAATAATCATTCTTCTACTTTAAAAATGACTCTTTAACAAATAGCAGTGGCTCTTGCAATTTTCAGTTGTACAAAATGACATTTTTTTCTATGTTACTATCAAAATATTCTGCATAACATTAATCTCTGTGCAGTTATTAACATATGTACAGAACAGTGTTTCCCAATAGAAATCAGTATGCTTCTTGCTGATCCTTTTTGCCCTAGATTTACCAAAACCAACCCTAAAATTAATCGTACGAATAGTATAAAATCTCAGGAGAGATAAAGGAGTGCCGGTTTCTTTCCCAGCAGCAAACGAATAAAGGAACTCCTCCGAGTTAAAGTCTGGCCGAGCCTTCCTTTTAACCCTCGGTGGTGAATGCAGGCGAGCCAGGAACATCGCCCATTTTCCCGATGCGTTATGCGGAGTACACAGAAGCAGAGGAATGTAAACAGACAGAAGGCACGTGAAAGGCCCCAATCCAGTCTCCGTCTGACGGGAGCGAGGATTTCACAACTCCGTCATCAGCAGTCTTTTCATCATCTTCTCTCGCTCGAGTTCACGCCTCAGGGTCTCGGCGCTGTGTAATTAATGCACAAACGACCAATTATGGGGACAACAGGAAGTCTCATAGTTCAATTTAAAATGATTAACATTTTGAAAATACCAACGGAGGGGAGAAAAGGTCAGACTTGACCCAGTGAAAAGGCTGATGACTGATGGTTGATTCAAAACCAGGTATCGTTTGATATTTCTGAACAGCAAACAGCAGAGGGAAAAAATGGACGTAAAAAGACCCACATGGCAAAACAGTTTATGTTTTAATCTCATCCCCATTAAAGGCTACTGACTCTAAAGAAAGCTGGAGTAGGACTCTAAAAATAAATAATAAAAAACCCGCTAGACCAAATAAGATCACAAAAGACTGGCGTTAACAGCTTTCTGCTTGTTGGCGTGGTTTGATATCAGGGAACATCTGTATAGACTGAATTTGCTGCAGTCCTACTTCACGTGCACGTGGGTATAAGGGAAGCAGAGCCTGGGACTCCTGGTTCTGCCGGTCCGAACTGCTCCGGAGCCCGCAGGCTCCACAACGCCAGGAACGCCCTGGGTTTGGGGTCCTGTTTCCCAATACATACTTCAAGGTAAGCCTAGGACCTTTGGTCCTCCAAAGTACTGAGTATATGTCTGCTCCTTCACTTCTGTTCAGTAAATTATCAGCTTGGGAAACTCAGCTTTGAATAAATCCTAGAGAAGAAGCCAGCATGCAAAACCAGTAGGATGGGAGACTAGAAAAGGGAATGCAGGCTGCCTGTGGAAAGATGGGATGGCTTGTTGTTTCTCCAAGGAACTACAAGAAAGGCAGCAGCAGTTTGACATTACTTTAAAAAAAAAAAAAAGAAAAAAGAAAAAGAAAGAAAACTAGAGCCTGATTTTCATTTAGAAGAGTAGACAGTTCTCAACTTCAGCTTTTCCCCCTGGACATTTAATTTTAAAAGACAAATTGCAACAGCAATTATTAAAAGAAAACCTTTGTGGTTCAAGGAAAATGACTTGCCTGAGGAAAAACTGCACAGCCTTTCCTCTCCAGGTATCGGCCAGGGAGATGGCACACTTGGTCTTTAGTAAAGAAAAAATGCTGGCTGTAGCAGTTAATTAAGATAGATTTTCCCTCAGAAGAGAAATAAGATATAGGTATGTTTCTTTACTTTACCCACGATTACTCACCAAACAGCAAATGAAAATGTTTTGGCATCAGGGTAAACAGCACTTTAGAAAGAAAGTAATTTTTTCCTACTGCAATTATGGCAGAAAAAGAAAAAAGTTCATTCCTTTAATGCACAGAGCACCATAGCACTTCTGGGAAAGAACCGCACAGTACCTGTCCGCCAGTGAAATAGGTTTGTGTGACGGATATATTGTCTGCACCGTTGGGGTTGGCACCGTCTCTGCCAAAGATCTCAGGACAGGCGATGGAGTCATCGGCGATATCTTAGGAGATGACTGCACGGCACAACATGGTAATTTGCTGTCTGTAAATTCTGCCTACAAGAAACGCATACAGACACAGAAGGAAAAAAGCATAGATTAGCTTCGGCTCCTCTTGCCTATTTTCACCATCCTACTCATTGCCAAACACTCAGTAAGAGCAACTAATAAAGAGACTAAAGTTGCCCAGTGCAACCCCTGTAGATGCTGAGCAGAGCCAGTTGTTTTGACGGTGCTTTAACTGCTGTGCTCGAGTAACAAGTCTGACTGTAACATGCACCACATGAGCTGCAACTCCATGTGCAGGACTGACAGCATTCCCATGACAGATGTACTCCGTCTGGAGAACACCGCTTATCATCACTGCATTTCCTTTAAATGCAATAATGAGAACTGACCCAGAGAGTTTTCTAATGACAGGCAATGCTAAGCAAGTATTGGCTGTGTTGGTTTAAGATAGACAGACAGATCCCTGAAAACAAAATAAAATAGCCCTGACCTCCTTTTAGGCACAGGTCTATTTCTAATGCCAAACCATAGCGGCTCGTGCCCGTGGTGCACGCATGGTGCTGAGCTGGGAAGAACGCTGCCGTTTGCCAGCGCTTCAGCACCACTGGGACAGGCTCATACTGGTATCACCTTCTTTCTTGACAACTTTTTCTAATGAACGTGGCTCAGGCTTCACAGCAGGGAGAAAGAAAAGCCACCATCATTAGGGAGCATGCGATATTTATGTAGCAATTTGAGTAGCAGCTATTTTTCTTCTTTTTCTAATTATTTCTCAAATTCTGCAAGTCACATAGGATTAACACTAAAAACAGACACAAATCGGTTTAATCAGTGGGAGAACTGTTTGAGCCAGGCATGAATGCCTACTTCAGGCTTGCTTGGCTGTTGTTGCTTTTCTTAAAATGTTCCTGCTCATGTTTTAACTCAAAGCATCTGATATGCTAAAGATCGACCTCTGAAGGAAAAGGATTTCCAATAGTTTCATTGGTCAAATGAAGTTAGTCAAATGAAAATGTAAAACAAGCTAAAGGAACTCTTCCTCTTCAACCCTGGCCAATTATGTGTGTAAATACTGGCTAATGCAACCTGTTCAAACTGCTCTCTTGTTCAGCTTTTAACACTCAGCCTTACAGGCTATGGGGAAAGCAAGCCTCATGCTCCTCATGCAGGATCTCCCTTCTCTGAGCACTGCCAGCTCATATTTTACTGCATGGGAAGGTGGCACTGCTCTGCGAGCTGAGGTCAAGTCTCCCAGCCTTACTTGAGTCAACAGAGCTCTGACAAATTACACTTGCTCAAGATTTGCCCTGTGTCTTCAAGCGTGTTTGCTCTGGATAATGGTTCTGCTGTCTATAGCCAAAGCATCTTTTTATATGCATCTGTTTGCACAGAATGTTTGGACCAAATGCTTAACTGGTCTAAACAGATACAATTTCATTAACTTAATAGATTTATGTGACTTACACCAGAAGAGAATATGGCATTGAGCCTGCTGCTTCTCTACAGAAATCTCAGAGCTGCAGAGCTCTGAGGGGGTTCCTGACATGAACTTTCCTTTTAGCCATTCCAGGGAACCACGTTCTGTATTTTTGCCTCTGATAAAATCAATACAACTTTATGTACACCACAAAACTAGGAGCCCTATACAGAAGGTAAAGCCTTCAAAACTTCATCATTCATAACCTTTTTTCTCCTTAATAAAATGTCAGTGTTTTGCTCCAAGCAAAGCAAATGTGAAGGGTAAGCAAAGAAAAGGGGGAAAAAAACCCACAGAAAAGGAGCCACAAATGTTTGTAGCACATGGGGCTGTATATGCCTGAAGAAGGTTCAGAGTTAGTTCTGCCTGCGAGACCTAGCACTCTCCCTTGCAGCATTTGGTGGTGGTTTAGCTATCTCCAAACCCCTGCCAGGGCCCATACACTGAGATGAACTGAAACACTGCTGCAGAGAGGCACCGCTTCGTGCTGGGACGGAGGACCATGAAACAGGACTACAGCGTTCATTTGCTTTCCACGTTGGTCTCCCATCTTTACAAAACCCTCCAGGGGCTGCTGGCTCACTGAAGACATTCGTATATAACTCACTTAAAGGAATGTATGGAATTATATCAGGGACCAAACATCTTTTTTTTTTTTTTTTTTTTTTACTGTAAACCTATTTTAAATATTTGTGATCTGGATTTCCCTGCTCTCCCTTCCCCAGGGAAACAGGGGTCTAGAAGGAGAAAAGAGGATTTCAGAAAGACTAGTCAGATCTTTACATATCTGCTTAACAAACTTTGCTTTTCCTCTGCTGACAGAGCATACACAAAATCCCAGGATTTGAATTTGCTGTGAAACAAGGCCTTTTTTCACTAGATGGAAATATTTGTGGGGAAGCATAGCTGGCATCTGTTTATATTTTAAAGTTTTATGGGTCCCTAATTAAAAAAATATTTTATATACCCTTCCTAAATTTTGCTTTCATCATTAACTGTCATAGGCATAAAAATAATTTTCTGATAAGCACTACGAATTAGAAAATATTCTATGCATATCTTTTTGCTTACCATAAAGTACGCTATGAAGGACACAAACATTGTAACTTTGGTTTAGCTTTCACCACAATGGACCTATCCAAACTTGGATGACTTACTGAAAAGTTGCTGTGACATATTCCCATATATTTTAAAATACATATAATCAGAGCTCAACACTGGCACTCACATAGCATTGACTGCCTAACCAGCTCTGGCTTTAAAATACATATTTGGAGAAAAACAACATTTAGATCATATCCCAAGATGATATGGTTTATTGTGAAAGAAAAGCCTCTTTCTTTAATTAATTAAGGGCAGATAGTTACTGTACATATCCCAACAGTGACTGAAGTTACTTATCTCTGACTATATGCCAAAACAGATTGCTGCCACTAGTAAAAGTTAAGGTTAAAGTCTGAATTGCTTAATTTTGTGAATGTAATTTTAAAACCATAAGTTAGCTACTGTGATTTATAACTATAGTCAGAGAAGGTTTCTTGTAGGACAGAATCGCTTCTCACATAGGAAAGGACAGAGAGGGCTACAGTCCCACTTCTGTGAAAGTTAACAAGAACTGAATGCCAATATTAAGTAAACGTGGGAATTATATAAGGATGCTATTGCAGTCATCAAAATACTAATTAAAATCCTTCCTTAAAATTCAGATGCGATTTCAACGAAAAGCAGGCCCTTTTTGGGATGGCACAACAGGCAGTTTCAGGCAGGATGCCAGGCAGTTGTTAGATAAAGGACTAAGTCCTCCCCGCTCCCTTGCTGCTCCTTTGGAAAGATACTGTGGAGCTTCACAAGCGTCCTCTGCACAACTGAACTGAACCCCACTTCAGGCCTGACTATACCAGCAGTCAGTCTTGGCCTTTCTCTCTTAGTCCTCTGTCTTGTAAGCAGCAGCGTCTGAATGCAGGCAAGTTAATGGATTTGTACAACAGGCATATTTAATGGATTTGCACCCTAAATCCTACTTGGAATGTATCGTTTTGAGGACTGTTTACCGCATAACTTTCTGACACTGTTAAAAAAAAAATCACTTGGAATTGTGTTAAATACACAGTTTTTTAGTTGCATGTTCTACTTACAGAAAACTGTGGTACTGTTGTAAAAGGATCGAAAAAAGGATTAGATGTATCAGCGGGGAATGTCTTTATCTTTAAAAAAGATAAAGAAAAAGATGTTACTTTCAGAGCATAAAAATGGAAAAGAAAAAAAAAAAGCAGCAAAGCATTGCAACTACAGTGACACATCCAAAAAATTAGAATGGTAAAAAAGACCCCTCCAAAAACGCATATAGCAACCAGATGATGATCAATCAAAGGATAAATGTGAAGACTTGATAGATTAATTTTACCCATATAATTAAATATGTTGTGGAGATTCTGAGCTGATTGCATGCAACATATCTTCCATATCTGTAAACAGTCACTGGGTCATTATCTGTTGCCTTCAGTGAACACTGTATATTTTAGAACAGGCAATATAAAGTGCAGGAGCAACTTGTGCAGTGCAGGAACTTCAGCTAAAGAACTTGTGCTTTCTGTATTTCAGACTTTCAAGTTTCCAGTTACACAGTTGCTGCCAAGGAGAAAACATCACATGGGATCACAGATGGGATCGAAAGAAAACCCTACATTAAAAAAAGCACCAACAACTGTATGTTTCAGGCAGCTAATAGGACCCGTGAGTATGCCTGCATCAAGTGGTGGGCTGCAGACAAAGGATTATCTCAGGAGGCTTTTAGGTAAAGGTGCCTGGAGCCGCCAGGTTAGAGACCAGCGTGCCCTTGTGCCGAGAAGCCTGACGACTCCCAGGGCTCAGTCCAGAATACCTTGCCATTGGTGCGACCAAGCCTTGCTGCAAAGCACTTCTGCCTTTAAAATAATTTCAAATATGAAATGAGATAAAAGAAATAGAAAAAGCAGCAACAATCACGGCCCTTTTTCATTGCAAATGACACTTTTTTTCAAGATTTTCCTCTCTAGAATGCAGACGTTCGTTCATTCATTCAGAGAGAGGATAAAATATCAAATAAAGATATCAATTTTGAACTGCACTTCATGCTTCCCTCTTGGAAAACATATTTCCACTGTAAACGTGCATTTTTCACTTTATTCTAGAAACTGCTGTGCATTTGTTTATTATACACATCTTCAAACATAATCCACTAACTAAAACATAATTCACTAACTATAACTATACAAGTATAGTGCACAAAACCACTCCCAAGGTCCTGAGCCATTGGTGGCCAAAGCAACACTGGAAACTATGAGGTCAAATATAATTAAGTAAATGTATAGTGTTTATTTTGTAAACAAAACAGCAGAAACATATTTGCCTTCGAAAGACGCCAAGGGAAATTAACAGCCCTCTGTGGGTCAACTTGTGCAAACACAGGGAATTGATCTGGGAATTAACAGTCAGGCCTCTTACTCCCGAGAAGCAGGAAT